CTACTACTACTACGACTACTACTACTACTAGTAGTACTACTAATATTTCTACTACTACTACTACTACTACTACTACTACCACTACTACTACTACTACCACTACTACTACTACTACTACTACTACTACTACTACTACTACTACTACTACTACTACTACTACTACTACTACTACTACTACTACTACTACTACTACTACTACTACTACTACTACTACTACTACTACTACTACTACTACTACTACTACTACTACTACTACCACGACTACTACTACTCTCACCAGTACTACTACTACTACTACTACTACTACTACTACTACTACTACTACGTTTCCTCCTCCTCCTGCTCCTCCTCCTCCTCCGCCTCCTCCCCCGAGCTCCGTAACCAGCTCGGTTCAAGATGATTTCGTCCAGTGGCAGCGCACGGAGATCCGTAGTCTGGGGCCAGTTCAGGACTTGCTTTTGCTTCGCCGTGTCCGCAGTGTCAGGGAGATGACAGATGACGTCCACAGTGGTCGATGGCCGACAGCTGGCCGACATCGTCGTCGTCGTCATCGTCGTCGTCGTCGCCGTCGTCGTCGTCGCCGCACCGCGGCGCCGCTTCGTCGGCTGCGGCGGCTGCAGCGGGGCGGGCGCGCCGCCAGGGCGCGCCCGTGCACGGCCGAGGGTGATGCCAACCAGATCCGTGATTAAGTCGGCAAGCCCCTCTACAGGAGGAATATTCAAAAATATGCCAAACATGGGATGGGGAAGATTTTCCGATTGTGTTCGGATAAGTTTTGAATATTGTTTGAACATGTTTTAATTTGTCCTCGAAAATCCGCCTGTAGGAGGACATGCCCGACCTAGCTCTAAGAGGCCGCCGCGCATTTCGAGTCCACCTCCAAGGCAGTCACGGAGGCCACCAGATCGCACTTCCACGGCATTGTCCAGAAGACCGCCGCAGACGTCAACGTCGAGCACGAGCACAACGAGCGCGACATCCGCGAAGTCAGGACCCGCATGGACCAGAGCGAGCAGTCCAAGCGCGAGCTGCGCGAAGCTGTGGATAAACTTCAGAAGGTGGTGGACAAAGCCGAGGCTCGCCAGCCAAGCCTTCACATTGACGCCATCGGCCCGCGGGACAGGCAGGCGGACCCCAGCACGTCCTGGCGTGGACGCGCCTCAAGTTTCAGCATCGGCGACCTCTCAGAAGCCCTCGGCGGACGGTGGCGTGGACGCCCTCGAGCCGCAGATCTCCTTCAACAACACTGGCGCTGCAAAGCGCCACTACCTCGCGGTCACTAGCAGCACTGCGGTGTCAGAACATCGGGTTCGACGTTGTCGCGACGCTCTTCCTGCGGGTCGAAAACGGCGCGAGGTGGCCCTGCCAGTTAGCTGAGTGCCCCTGCCGACAAGAGCCCGCGGACTTTTCGGCGCGAGGCGCAGATCAAGCGCCTGGCCAAGATCACCAAAGCGCGCCACCCCGACCTCAACATGCGCATACATCGCGCCCAGCGCTGCCCTCGCACAGGGGAGCCGCGATCGCGAACCACCTCGCACCCAATGGACTGCAGCTGCCCTCCGGCCGAGGCACCACCGACTTCAAGGCGTTCGAGCCCAGCTTCTCCGGCGCTCTGACGGCCGCGCAGTGGCTCTTCAGCCTCCGGCGGGCCAAGTGGCTCTGCAAGCCTTCCCAGGATGGCCCGGACGCTCCCCGGCAGCTCCGAGCAGCGCTGACGCGACAGTCGACGGCATCTCTTCTACCAGTGTTTTCGGCAACGCGCGCCCCTCGCACTGCAGGAGACACGCGGCACCATGGTAGGCATGAACATCCTCGCGAGCCCCACGCAGCACCTGTACGTGGCGCGCCACCCGGGGATCCTCGGCAACTCTTCCGCGGCCAGCATCGGCTTCTTCGCCCCCCTTCGGCGCGGTCGAGCTGAGCCGCCCACCCGGCGAGCGCCCCCCTCGAACCTTCGAAGATGCCGTTCCAGGGCGAGCACCCTGGCCCCGAGCAACAGACTCTTTCAGGCAGCACGACGCCACAGTTCTCAACGTGCACAACCACGACTTCTCGCCCAGTGATCGCGAGGCCCCTCAACGGCATTCGCGCCTGCTGCGCGCATGCCGACCAGGACCCTACGAACGCATGTTGGCCCTCCTCGGCGACTTCAACATACCTGGGCACCCGCCCAACGCCCCTGTCAATTCCACCGCCATGGCCGGGCCCCACTACCAGTGCCACCCCATCTTCCGGCGAAGCATCTCCCAGAGCATGGCCGAAGTCACCGCGCTAGCCACGACCCGCCGCTGCGTTGCGAAGATGACCGGGCCCACGATCGACCGCTGCCTCGTTCCCCTGCCCACGCACGCGACGCCCTTGATGGAGCCCACCCTCTCGGCCGATAACGCGCGGCTGGAGGGCCCAAATGGCGCGGACAGCGAGCGGGAGATCACGCGCCCGCGCATCCGCCCAGTTCGACAAAGCCCACCAAAAGAACGCGACATTCCCGCTTTCGTCGTCGACGCACAGCACTACGCGCACTACGTTAACAACATCACAGTTGCCCACCCGCTGCATCTGCACCACGCAGCGCAGTAGCGCCCGATGAAGTCCCTGATGCATGGAGCCGCCCGCCGCGCTCGCGACGCGATAGCGACGCTGCATCTACATGTTCCTGACGAGGAAACTCGCGCGAGCTGCTGGCCCCGCTCGCGACCCTGCTCCTGACCCATGTGGGCCCCCATGCCGAGTGCGGCAGCGTTCGCCCGGCGCCGCTAGCGCCCTTGCTTCGCCCGGCCGCCACATCGTCACGACCAATACAGCATATGATCTGAGCCACGCTTCGATTGCCAGGATTCCGAAGGGCGACGAACCGCTCGGCAGAATGGGGTGCACAAGAACCCCAGTGAAGAGCGCTGACTTGAAGCTGCTTGACGCCGCCGCCAGCAAGACTCTCCACGGCGTTGCCGCCAAGACCGCCATCGAGCAATAGGGCTCCGTCACCGGCCGCCTCCGCCCCCCGGGACGCGCCCGCGCTTGCCCCCATGGACACGGCCGCCGCGCCCCCGTCGCTGAACCGCCAATTGGCGCGGCAAGTCCGCCGAAGGTGGGGGGTCAGCGGCTCCGTGCTCGCCCTGCTGAACGCTTTCTACGTCTTCCCGCTGTCGCGCCTCGCCATTGGCGGCGCTCCACGGCCGCCGCTGCGCGCCGCGTCGGGGGCGGCGCGGGGGCGCCTTCTCAGCGGCGCAGCGCGGGCGCTGATCTTCGACCCAGTCGCGCGATCGCCGGCCGCGCGCGGTCGGGGAGACCAGCGAAGGCGGCGACCCACCCCTCCTGGACGCGGCGCCGCGGCGGCGACGCAGCAGCGCCCAGCCGAGGAAGCGACGCGCCCCCCGCCGAGGAAAGGCGCACGCCGGCGCCACGCGGCCAGACGGAGCAAGGGCCGCGGCCCCCCGCCCGAACCCGCGAGGCGGAGGACCGCACTGTGGAGCTCGCAGGGGTGCGGGGCGGGGGCCTCGGGCCAGTCGGCGAGGCAACCGCGCGCCGCAACTGGGTGGCCAGCTGCGCGGCCCACATCTCGGCAACGCCCCTGCCGGACGAGACGGCGGGCCTCTTCATCGGGCTTGCGGCCGACCAGGCGGAGGCCGAGCGCAGGCGGGTGGCCGAGGAGATCCGCGAGCAGGCGCGGCGGCGCGCGCGGAGTGACCGCCCCCAGCGCCCCGTGCGGATGCGATGCCTCGTGGTCCGAGATCTGGAGAGCGAGGCGGAGCAGCGGCTGTCGGAGGCGCTGACGGCGAAGGCCTTCCTCAGCGGGGCGGCGCCAAGACCGTTCAGGGCGCGGCTGCGGCCCGGGTCCGAGGTCGAGGCCAGCGGCCCGCCGCTTCGACACACGCGGTCGAGGCCGAGAGGGAGGACGACGAAGACGAGGACGACGAGATGCGGGGCCCCTGGCAGCCGCAGGCGCAGACCGCCGCGGAGGACGGCGACGCCAGCGCGCGCGCAGCATGGCCGAGGCCGTCGCCTACCAGTACCAGTTCGTGGCCGCCGACGGCGACGACATCGAGCCCCACCCTGACGCGGGCCCATCAGGCGGGTCACCGCCCGGCCAGCGGCGGCTCGCCTGCACGCTAGCCAGGCGCCCGTGCCGAACTGGACGGAGGTCGATACCCGCAGCTGCGGGGGGCCGCGAGTGCAGCCAGAGCCGCAGCCGCCGCAGCGGTGATAGCCGCCGCGCCCGGCCGCTGGCGGAGGAGGCGCGAGGCCCGCAGCAGCAGCCGCGGCTGAGGCAGCCGCGACCGAGCCGCCAGCGGCAGGGGCGAGGCCGCGCTGGGGGAACGGCAGCATGGCGCAGAGCCACCGCCTGTGGACCTTCGGCGGGTGCGGCAGCGCGCTGGTCTTCTGCCCTCTGCGCCGCGCCAGCTGCGGCTTCTGCGCGGACGGGCCCCGCGCGGCGGGGCTCCGCGCGGAGTGCAGCGGCGGAGCCTCCAACCGCCGGGCCGCCGTGCACCGCCTCCGCCAGGGGCATGCGCCCCGCGCGTGGAGGCCGAGGCGGGGGCCCGAGGGGCGCCGGCGCGAGGGCCGGGCCGCCGCGCCGGGGCGACGGCGGGAGGCCGAGGAGCAGGCCACCGAGGCGCCGAGGCGGGCGGCGAGGCCAGCAGCCACGACAGCCGAGGCCACTGCCGGCACTCGCCTCGAGCGCGAGCGGGAAGCGCCCCGCGCGCCTTCTGCCGTTCCTCCTCCCCCCCCTCTTCGCCTTCTTCGTCCCCCCTCCCCCTTTGACAATCCAGATGCATGAAGTCATTTCGGCGCCAGGCGTAGCCAACGCTCCATACCGTGCTTTTGGGCATCAGGAAGCCAACGTGCTTCTAGCGCTCCGGCGCCACCGCCGTGCTCTTTCTGGGGCCGTCCTTTGGAACGATTGTCGGCGTCCTGTCCTGTCCTGTCCTCCCTCCCCCCGCCCTGGAGCCGCCGCCGCGCTGGCTGCGGCTCCTCCTTCTGCGACGCGGCCGGCCCTCCCTGGCCGCCCGGCGCCCCGCCCTCGCGCCGGCAGCTCGCGGCCTGGGGCCCTGGCCCCTTTCGCGCGGGCTGCCCCGCACCTGCGTCGGCTGGCTTCGGCTCGTCGGCTGGACTCGTCGGCTGGCTTCGGCTTCCTGCTCGAGCATGCACGCGATTCGGATCCGCCAGTCGGGATCCTATTCGGCCTCCTCTACTCGTCCCTGGGCACCCCTCCTCGTCGGCGGGGTTCGGCTTGGGATTCTGGGCGGCGCCGGCTTGGGCCCGCGCGGGCCCTGGGGGGCGCCGCTGTGGGCCCCGCGGGGGCCTCCAGCCCCCGCGTGGGCCGCGCATGAGCACGGTAGGCAGTCCCTGCTCCCGACTTCTGTCAATCTGAGTCCGAACAACAACAACAATAACAACAACAACAACAACAACAGCAGCAGCAACAACAACAACATCATCACCATCCTCATCCTCATCCTCATCATCATCATCAGATTCATCAGATTCATCTTCATGTTCATCTTCATCTTCATCTTCATCATCATCAGAAGCAGCAGCAGCAGCATCATCATCGTCATCATCATCACCACCATCATCAGCAGCAGCACATCAGCATCATCATCCTCTCCATCATCACAATCAACAACATGATCAGCATCATTAGCACCACCATCATCCTGACCACCATCATCATGACCAGTGTAAGCATCACCAGCATCATCATCCTCATCATCGTCATCATCATACTCATCATCAGCATCAGCATCATCATCACCATCAGCATCAGCATCATCATCGCCGTCATCAGCAGCATCATCAGCAGCAGCATCATCATCAACATCATTATCAGCATCAGCATCATCATCTCCACCATCCTCACAAACAACAACAACATCAACATCATCACCACAATCATCAGAATCACCATCGTCATAGTCAGCATAACCATTATCGGCATCATCATCATCCTCACAACATCATGCTCATAATCATCATCATCATCATCATCATCATCATCATCATCATCATCATCATCATCATCTTCATCATCTTCATCATCTTCATCATCATCATCGTCGTCATCGTCATCATCAGCATCAGCAGCAGCATCAGCATCAACAGAATCATCAGCATCAGCATCAGCAGCATCATCATCGCCACCATCACCAGCATCAGCATTATCCTCATAATCGTAATCATCATCAGCAGCAGCATCAGCATCAGCAACAGCAGCATCATCAGCATCATCACCCTCACCACCACCACCGCCATCGCCATCACCATCGCCTTCACCATCACCATGATCATCATCAGCAGCATCACCATCATCATCGCCCTCATCGCCCTCATCATCAACAGCATCAGCATCATCAGCATCATCATCACCACCATCAGCATCCTCGTCATCATCAGCATCAACAGCACCAGCATCAGCAGCATCATCAGCATCGTCATCATCCTCAGCCTCAGCATCATCATCACAGTCATCATCATCATCATCGTCAGCATCATCTTCCTCATCATCATCGTCATCAGCATGATCAGCATCAGCAGCAGTCTTCTCAACACTATCAGCATCATCATCACCATCAGCATCATCATCATCATTATCATTATCACCATCGTCATCAGCAGCATCACCATCACATCATCGTTATCATCACGTTTCGTCATTCCCCTCCTCCTCCTCCTTTTCTCCTCCTCCTCCTCATCTTCATCCTCCTCCTCGTCCTTCTCCTCCTCCTCCTCCTCCTCCTCCTCCTCCTCCTCCTCCCCTCCTCCTCCTCCTCCCTCCCCACCCCTCCTCCCCCTCCTCCCCCCCCTCCCCTCCTCCTCCTCCTCCTCCTCCTCCTCCTCCTCCTCCTCCTCCTCCTCCTCCTCCTCCTCCTCCTCCTCCTCCTCCTCCCCTGCCCCCCCCCCCCCTCAACTCAAAGGCTCCCCGATGCATGCGCCAGACCCCGCCGCCCCACCGTCGCCGAGGAAGCCCGCGGGGGGCACATCCCCGCGCGCCCGCCGCTCAGCCTTCGGCTCCGAGCGCACCGCTCGCGCGGCGGGAGGAGGAGGAGGACGACGAGGAGGAGAAGGCGGAGGAGGAATAGGAGGACGAGGGAAGCGGAGGAGGAGGAGGAATAGGAGGAATAGGAGGACGAGGAGGAGAAGGGGAGGAGGAGGAGGCGGAAGGGAAGCGCGTCGCGACCTCGCGCCGCCGCGCCGGCAGGACGCAGCATAGAAAATGGGGCCATGCAAGCACGAAACCACCTCTGAACTAAAGTGAACACGGAAGCATAATTTAGACTAGGAGGAAGGGGGGGATGAGGAAGAGCATGAGGAGGAGGACGAGGAGGAGGACCAGTATAAACACAAGACCCATCAACGATGTTACAATAAACTCTCCTTCCAAGCCCCCTCTCTCACAGGCCCCTAGAAGGATTCATGTCCACTGGGGGAAGTGCCCCGTCCGGAGACAACCGTTTGAAAAATCTTGCACCGTGCTGGAGCACCACTCTTGGTGCATATGCCGAAGCCACGAATCAAACTTATTGCTGCGCCATGACGAACCTGAATCGTGCCGAAACACCGTTCTTGGGACTGCAACAGTGCGAACCAACGTAACTGATGCGCCCTGACAATCCTACATCGCTCCAAACACCATGTCTGGTGCGCTAGCCATGAGAATCCGCACAATGCCTGCAAACTTGTAAGACGAATGTGCGCGGCGCTTGGGCGAGAGCCACATGTTGAAAAGGAACCGCCATCCATCCGTTAAAGCGTTACGATGGTTTTGAATAATGCGCGCGGCACTGAGGCAAGAGCTACATCCGAAAACGACCTGCCCACAATGTATGAGACTCCTGCAGTATGTCAAACGAATGTGCGCGGCGTGAAGGCGAGAGCCAGATTTTGGAAGCGGCCCGCCCTCCATCTGCGAAACGGTTGCCAATGTCTTAGCGTTAGGGTCATCAGTGGTCTCGAAGTCTGAGGCGAAACGCCCGGCCTGCCCTTCCGACCGGCCTCGGGGTGCGATTGGGAGGAGTTCTTTTTAATGAGGAGGAACGGAGGAGGAGGAGGAGGAGGAAGAAGGAGAAGAATAATAATGCCAGAAGGAGGGCGAAGACCAGGAGGAGGAACAGGAGGAGGAGAAGGAGGACCAGGAAGAGGAGGCGGAGGAGGAGGACAGGAGGAAAACGAGGAGGAGCAGGAGGAGGAACAGGAGGAGGAACAGGAGAAACAGGAGGAGGAGGAACAGGAGGAACAGGAGGAGGAGGAGGAGGAGAAGAAGGAGGGCACGAGGAGGAAGAAGAAGAAGAAAAAGAAGAAGAAGAAGAAGAAGAGGACCCAGACCCAGACCCCCTCGCGCCGTGTCGGGAGGTCCTGGCAGTTTTATGTTCGGTCTCCCCCCGATACTTATCCAGTGATTAGACGTATTGTCACTCTTGCGGCGTTCAATCGCGTGCATTTCCGTGCCTTCCTCTCGTGCATCATTGTTAGCAGCATCGTATACTGGCTAGAGCGAGGGCGAGTTCCGCCTCCTCCGTTTTGACCGTCGTCTCGTTCAAGGCCTGTCTAGCTGACGAACACACGGCAGAATTGGGCATCCATCCCCCCACCCCCGTTCCTTCCATCCCCCCATACCACCCCCACTCCCATTCCCCTCCTCCTCCTCCTCCTCCTCCTCCTCCTCCTCCTCCTCCTCCTCCTCCTCCTCCTCCTCCTCCTCCTCCTCCTCCCTGCTCCTCCCTCCTGCCCCTCCCCCTCCTCCTCCTCCTCCCTGCTCCTCCTCCTCGTCCTCCTCCTCGTCCTCCGCCTCGTCCCCCCCGCGCCGAGGCCAACACCGACAGGGCCGCCCGAGCGACCGTGGGGGCGTTGCCCATGTCGGCCAGGCGGCGCAAGCAGGAGGAGCTGTGGGACCTGGCCCCCCAGGAGCCGGAGGCCGCCGCCGCCGCGCGAGCGCAAACGCCGGGGTCGAGGTCCGGGGAGGAGGAGGAGGACGAGGAGGAGGACGAGGAGGAGGATCAGGAGGAGGAGGAGGAGGAGGATCAGGAGGAGGAGGAGGAGGAGGAGGAGGAGGAGGATCAGGAGCAGGAGGAGCTGTGGGACCTGGCCCCCCAGGAGCCGGAGGCCGCCGCCGCCGCGCGCGCGCACGCCGGGGTCGAGGTCCGGGGACCGAGGCTCCGAGGCCGCACCCCAGGCCTCTGTCCCGGGAAACGGTAGGGCCGCTTGTCCACCGTTTCCGGAAAAATGTCCCTTGAAAATGGAAGCGGCAAAAAAAAACGGCGACCGGAAACGGCAAAAACGGCTCCAGGAGTGGAACCGGAGCCGGAATCGGTCAAAAATCGGCGACGGAACCAGTAAAAAACGGCGTCGGAACCGGCAAAAAAACGACAAAACGGAACCGGTAAAAAAACAGCCCTGTCGTTTCCAGGGCCCACTAAGCCCCTGGCCCGGTCTCGGGGCCGATGCTCGGTCCGGGCTCCGACCTCCTCGCGCTGCGGACACGAGGAGGAGCAGCAGGAGCCATCACGAGGGAGGCCATGGCGCGCGCGAGCGCGCCTTTGGGTCGAGAGCCGAGGAGCGAGGTCCTGAAGCGCTCTTGGAGGCCGCACCCCTGGCCTGGTCTCAAGTCGGGCGTGTCCCTCTACAGGAAGAATTCGCAAATAGTCAAAAGAAACAGTCGGGGGGGCGATTTGGGGCGTATGTTTGGGCATGTTTGGGGAATCTCTTGCGTATTTTCAAGTTTTCGTCGAAAATCTGCCTGTAGGGGGACAGGCCCGACCTACGCCTTGTCTCGGGGCCGATTCTCGGTACGGACTCAGACCTCCTTGCGCGGCGAACAAACGGAGAAAGACAACAGAAAGCACCGCCAGCCGCGTGGTGTACAGTTCCGGTGTCTGCTCCCATCTTCTCCCTCAAAAAAAAAGACAACAGAAAGCACCGCGACGGAAGGCTGCTGTGGCAACGGTTTGCCTCCGGGGTGGCCTCTGCTGAGGCCCCGGGGCCGTCGTCGACGAGCAGGCCGGGATGAGGCTCCAATCCCTTGGCATCGCTCGGACGTGTGCATCTCCCCTTCGGCGAGGACCCTCGAGGAGCAGCCTTGGTCATGTGGCGAGAAGTCCACGCACGAAGCCGAAAAAAAAACACACAGGGGATGGACGTCCGAGCGATGGCCAGATCCCGGGGGAGCGGGGCCGGACCTCCGGGGGCCCCCGCTGCCAGGCCGCGGCGGCGCGCGGGTGCGCCTCGCCCGCGCGCGCACGCGGCCCGCGCGCCCTGCTTCCCCCCCCCTTGGCGGGGCGCGCGCGGGTGCCGGCGGCCGCCGCCCGACGGCGGGGAGCCCGGCGCGGACCCGGGGACGGGCCGTGGGCGCCGCGTGGTGGGGGGGTCATGAATGGGGGGGTGCCGCGGGTGGTGCGAAAAGGTACCCAAACGGTACCTATAAACGAGCCCCCTGGGGCTCCGGAGGGGCCCGGAAGGGGCACGAAAGGAGACCTTTTCTGACCCCCCCATTTGTGACCCCCCCATATTAAGCCACGCCCAAGGGCCGCAGCCCCGGGCGAGTGCGGGCGGGAGACCAGCCCCGGGCGAGTCACCGCGCGGGCTGGCGTGTGCGCTTGCCCGAGGGGCGGCCGAGGAGCTGGTCTCCCCCCCGCGCTCCCACTGGTCGGCCACGTCAAACATCACGTGGTGCTTCGGCAGGATGCTCGCTGCGCCGTGCGCCTCTTTATGCAGTCGAAGGTGCTCGGCGTGGGCTCGCCGCGCCTGCGTCGCCCCTTCGCGCAGGCCAACGCGCCCCTGCGGGCGGCCTGGCGGAGGGCCTGGGCGCTCGGCTCACCACCGCTGCCGGTCCCAGCGGGTGCGGCGGGCGCGAGCGGCGCGCCAGGAGGTGCGGGCCCCGGTCGACCTGCGGCTGGGAGCCCCCCGAGGGGGCAGGCGGGTGCGGGGCGGCAAGGACTGATGGGCAGGTTTCCCACCACCACTGCCATAGGTAGGAGAGGGAGGAGGAGGAGGACGAGGAGGAGGAGGAGGAGGAGGAGGAGGATCAGGAGGAGGATCAGGAGGAGGATCAGGAGGAGGAGGAGGAGGATCAGGAGGAGGAGGACCTCCCCATTCTCCCTTCTTCCCCGTCCTACCTGTGGCAGCGGTGGCGGGGAATTGGCCCAGAAGGTCGGGGGAGGAGGCTGCTTTTGATATCCGCGGCGAGCTGGGTCCAGAGGGAGGTCGGCTGTCAGCGGGGGCGCGTCGGAAGTGAGCCGGGCACAACGGACGGAACGCGGACACATCGGCGCGAACTTGGTCATCGCCCATCTCCTCCTCCTCCTCCTCCTCCTCCTCCTCCTCCTCCTCCTCCTCCTCCTCCTCCTCCTCCTCCTCCTCCTCCTCCTCCTCTTCCTCCCTCCCTCCACGATGACCAGGGTCGGCGTCGACAAGATCCCGTGGCATTTTGTGAACGTTGTCTTCTTCGGCGTCTCGACATGGGGCGGCAGGGGGGGAGGGAGGGAGGGAGGGGGGTCTGGCTCTGGACCTCTGCTTCATGCGACTTCCTGCAGCACTGCGTCCACTGGGGGAGACTCCACCTGCCTGAAACAGACGCCAAAGACAGCCAAGATCTACTTTGAGGGGGGGGAGGGAGGGGAGGCGAGAGCCCGCGCCGATCGGCAAAACAATGAATACAGTGGAGGCCAGTCTACAAGAAACCCACCCCTGAGACCCCAGGACTTCCATTGATTTCTGGTTGGGGACGTCACGATCTCCATCGGAAGACCATCGAAATCCAAGAAACCCAGGGCACCCTGGAGGCAAGCAGGGTGCTTCTTGGCATGGATCTCCATTGTAAGCAAAACGATCGCCATGGTCATCGTGCTCCCTCCCCCGACCGCACCGACGGCGGCGAACGCTCGAGCCTGGCCGTGGCACACCCCGAAGCTCCTCGCGGCCCGAGGGCGCTCTGGCCGTCCGGGGGGCCCTTTCCGTTCCTTTCCCTGCAGAAAGTCTCGGGGGCGGAAGAGAGGGGGGTGATGACTGGGGGGGGGGGGGGGAGATAAAATGGCGGGGGCCATGATATTTCCCCAGGTTTCATGGCGCCTCTTCTCATTTCATTACGTCCCTGGCCCCCCCGCTGGGCCGCGCACATGCCGCAGGTCATGATTTGCACCCCCACCCCCTCTTGGACAACCCCCTCTTGGCCGCTCCCGAAAGTCGCACTATACAAGACACGCTGCTTGCCTCCAGGGTGCCCTGGGTTTCTTGGGTTCCGGTGGTTTCGCTATGGAGATCGTGACGCTCCCACACCAAGAATCCATGGACGTCCTGGGGTCTCAGGGTTGGGTTTCAGTCGCATGAAGCAAAGGTCCAGAGCCAGACCCCCCCCTTCCCTCCCTTCCGCCCAATGTCGAAACGCCGAATAAAAAAACGTTCACAAGATGCCACGGGATCTTGTCGACGCCGACCCTGGTCAAGTCATCGTCCATGCCGGCCGTCGCCGATGCGCGAAGATGATCCACGAATCGACGGTGACCAGCATGGGCGATGACCAAGTTCGACGCCGATGTGTCCGCGTTCCGTCTCTCTATGTCCTGGTCATCGCCCCTCGGGCTGTGAGAGGAAGGCGGGCAGCGAGGCGGAGAGCAGGCGGGCGCCGCATTGCTTCCGTTAAGTCGGGCATGTCCCTCTACAGGAGGAATATTCAAAGATAGTCGAAAAATAGTATGGGGATGATTGGTCTGACTATTTCTGGGTATGTTCTAGCATATTTCGTTTATGTTTCCCCAATCAGTGTTTGCATTGAAGGGGTCCTAGCGGAAGTTAAAAGATTTGGCAAAAGCTTCCCGCTTCCCGCCGATTTTGGTAGCCGGCTGGGTTCCCGGGTTCCCGGTTCTGGGTTCCCGGGTTCTTGGTTATTGGTTATTGGTTCCAGGCCGATGTCGGTGGGTTCTGGGTTCCTGGGCTCCCGGGTTCCTGGTCGATCTCCTCAACGAAAACCATCCACTGATTGGGGTTTTTCTCTGGTGTAATTGAAAGATTTGGCAAAAGCTTCCCGCTTCCCGCCGATTTTGGTAGCCGGCTGGGTTCCCGGGTTCCCGGTTCTGGGTTCCCGGGTTCTTGGTTATTGATTCTTGGCCGATTTCGGTGGGTTTGGGGTTCCCATGTCCTAGGTTCCCGGTCGATCTCCTTATCGATCTCTTGATCGATCCCATTTCAAACCATCTACTGATTGGGGCTTCTCTCTGGTGTAATTTCACTTTTCCTCCAAAGTCTGCCTGTGGGAGGCGGCATTGGATAAGGAACGTCTTCCTGGGGCCCAGACCCTGGCGCATTCCGTATTGCTTCTCGGCGAGGTGGGTGGCCCACGTCTGGCCGCCCATTGGTCGCGAGACCCTAGGTTCCTTATCGAAGGCATCCTTATCTAAAATCTCCACCGTAGTTTTGTTATGGGGTCGCTCGGCGCGTGACGGAAATGGACCATCATTGGCGGCGAGCCCCGGGGGGGAATGCAGAGGGGGCGGGCCTTCTCCCAGACATGATCGCGTCGTAAAGAGATCAAGGAGGCCAGTCTTTCACTGTGTTCGGCTTCTTGAGGACCCTCGCCAGGCCCTGGGGCCGTCAAAAAACGACTCGGGGCGAAAAGCTGGTCTTGGGGAAAGGGTCGGAACTTCCGGGGACGCCGTCATAGAAAAATCAGGACGTCGCATGTTTGGGCTCAGAAGGCTCGGAAGGCCTCGGGCTTTCCGAAAAATTGTGCTGAGCCTTCTCCGAAGACAGAGACGGCCTCTCACAAGGACAGAAGACTTCTGAGAAGCCCTGGCCCTTCTGAGCAGGCTTGCCCGATCTCACTTCCCCCCTAGGCGCGCCGCCGACGTCAGTTTCGCGAGTCAGGGATCGTAGAAGCGTGGCGCCGCGACGCCGACCCTCAGGTCACGAGGGCTGCGGCCAACGTGCATGGACCACCGTTCGAACGGCTGCTCGCGGATGCTCGAGTCCACGACGCAAGGTGGCGATCGCAGTCGGACAGCCTGGGGCCAAGACGCTCCAGGCCGCCCTCACGGGGCTGGAGCAGAGGGGGCCGAAGGATCGCGCCGCATCGCCGATGCATGCGTCGGCGACGCGGCTCGGTGCGGAGCCCAGTTCCCTCAACTCCGACGTCACCAGCACATCGCTGGCCCCATCTGCTCAGCACCCCACCCGCCGGCGACCACAAGGGTTATGGCTACGCCAGGGTGTGCTTTTTGCGATCTGCGTGGCTGGGGCGCTCTCGAGGTCCTCACGCGCCCCCCTGGGGTGCGGGTTGCAAACTGCACCCTCTGCAAACCACCACCACCACCCCAGACGTGCGGCGTCTTGATTTTGTCATGACGGTGCCCCCGGAAGTCCCGGCCCTTTCCTCCCCAGGACCGGCCTTTCGCCCCGAGCCGTCGTTTGACGGCCCCGGGGCCTGGCAAAGGGCCCTCAGAAGCCGACAACAGTGAAAGACCGGCCGTGCTGATTTCTTCACGACGCGCTCATGTCTGGGCCCCGAAGGCGCCGCACCTGGACGGTCTCCAGGCTCGGGCGCTACAGGCCGGGGTCGAGCAGGAGTGCGGGGCGCGCTCGCGCACGCGAGGGGCCCCGCGCCGCCTGTGGCGTGGCGGCGCGGCCCCGGGGCGCGGGCGCTAAGGTCGGAGGTTGATAGACCTCCTACCATGACACGTCGATTAAGGAATTGGCCGTTTTCGGTTCGCGGGAGGGCGTCGCGGCCGTCATTTGTGCGGGTCCAGGTCCGTCCGTTTCGGCCCCAGGCCGTTGTCACTAAGGGGGGGTTTACTAAAGGGAGGTTTGTCCACCGCCGATAAGGGTGGAGCGCAACCGGCGGCCTGCAGTCGGCCAAGGTCCGAGGAAGAGAGGCACAGAACATAGACTGTCGAAGGTGATCGTGTGTACCTCCCTCGTTTTGCCGATCGGCGCGGGCCCTCGCACCCCCCCCCGCTCTGAGGGGAGGGGGAGAGGGGCCCTCTCCCCCTCCCCTCGTGGAGTGGACCTCGGCTGTGTTGGGGGCGCCTGTCTCGAGGAGGTGCTGCCTCCCCCCCCCATAGGGCGCACCGCGCCAAGCAGTCGCCCGAGGGCCGGAGCCGGGCCCCCCCCCCCTTCTCCCCCCTCTTCGCTCAAAGCCGAAACGCCGAATTATCAGGAGGGAAATAAAACACACAGACACAATTAAACGTCGGCTCCCCGGAAAATATGGGAAACATGGGAAGGGGGGGGGAAGACGAAAATCCAAAAGATAGGGAAAAATATGGGGGAGCCTGTTATGTGTGTGTATTTGTGTGTGTCCTTGGGCCCCTTCAGAATAAGAAAACGCTCACCTTCCCATCTCCCTCTGTCAGGCTACGGTTCGATGCATGAGCTTATTTTTTCGCAAGTCGGCTCGCGTTGGGGCCCCTGCTTGGCGGCATTTGATTCGCACAGCAATTGAGGCTTGGCAGTGTGAAGTCGGGCATTCGCGCTCCATCTTCCACCCCCAAAAAGAACTGATTGTCGAATGACCGCGCCGATTTCTACAATCAGCGCTTCACAGGACCGCAGGGAGGGGGGGGGGGACACGAGGGGGAATCGCCGTCGCGAAGTCGACGTCATCGCCGCCGACGTTGACGTCGCCGCCATCACGACGTCACCATCGACGTCGACGCCTTCGCGACGTCGACGTCGACGTCATCGCTGCGAAACGCGCGCGAAGGCCATCGTCGTTGGCGACATGAACCTGCTCAGAGTGTCCACGCACAGCTCGGCGGCGCTGCGCGCAGTGACCGCGTGCCTGGTGCGACGGCTGAGCCGCGACAGGCCCGTGCCCGGGCTCTCCTCGCTTGTCGTCGGCGCGGTCATCCTCCTGCTCCTCATCATCATCGCCAGCATCATAATCATCGTCATCCGCATTAGCATCAGCATCAACATCATCATCAGCATCAGCATCACCATCAGCAGCATCACCATATCTTCCTCCCAATAAAACCGTCATCATCACCGCTCATCCCCGTCGCTCATCATCCTTCCTCCGCCTCCTCGCGTCTCCTGGTTTCTCATTCGCTCCTCATTTCTCCTCCTCCTCCTTCTCCTGCTCCTCCTCCTCCTCCTCCTCCTCTCCCCTCCTCCTCCTCCTCCTCCCTCCTCCTCCTCCTCCTCCTCCTCCTCCTCCTCCTCCTCCTCCTCCTCCTCCTCCTCCTCTCCCTCCTCCTCCTCATCATCCCTCCTCCTCCCTCTCATCCTTTCCTCCTCCGTCTCCTCCGCCTCCTTCTCCTCCTCTCTCCTCCTCGTCCTCCCCCTCGTCGCACTCGAACGGTACCTGGCCTGCCCAGTTCACCCGTTTCTTGTCTGGGCCTGACGCTGTTCGGCTCAAGCCTGCAGCGCTCCGTGCCCGCATTATACGCGCCTTCCTCTGACCGGACATTCCGTTTTCACGAAAAGCATGTTTTTTCCACCTCACCTCCTGCGTCCCATTTCCAGTTGGTAGCGGACCTTCGGCTCCAATACCAAGGCCTCAACGACCTACAGGCGTCGACCGCCATAACTCCACCTCTCCGCCTCTTTCATAACCGCGCCCAGCAGCTCATCCCGCTGGCCATGCCGCGCATCATCTGCTTTCGGTTCGTTCGTGCACTTCTTCCCTTTTCACTTTCCAGGCACCCAGCCCGCCGCCTCCAGGACGAGTGACCTGGAACTTTCATAACCAGCGTCATGACAAGTACGCGAACGACACCTTCAAGAACCCCGGCCACGCGCTAGTTCTTTTGGCGATCCCTCCCAGGTTGAGCTTCTGGTGACTGTCTCACGAGAGCCAAGAGAGGCACAAGCAGAGAAAGCGGGGAGGCAATGTAGGATCTGGCGACGGTATGGTCAGCATTCCAGGGGACAGCCAAGCGGATCTGGGAGAGCCCATCTTTGAGTTATTGGAACGTGACCTTCCACCTTGCCCACGCATTCCCTGCACATGTGCAGGACTGAGTCCTGATGCGCACTCCTCTTGACGATCGTGCAGTTGGCGTTGTTCAATACAGTGACGGCACGACGTACGACGAGCATCCCCCTGACCGTGTCACGGGATGTTCTGAGTCCGAGAGCGGCGGCTCCGAGGCACCTTACCCGAGCAGCGCTGCCGGCGGACCCCTTGCCCCCAGCACCTCTACGACACGTGGAGGAAGCTTCACTTCGGACGAAAGGCCATCGGAGTGGGCACAATTGCCATCGCCAGCTGCCTCTCCTGCATGGGCGCAGTGGCTGCAGCGGCAACACGCAAGACCTCCGCACTTGGGGGGGCCAGGGCAGCAAGCTCGAGTGCCCTTCCAGATGTGGGCGCGCGAGATGATTTTGTCAGCGGCGAACTCAGACCTGCAAGTTTCGCCAGGTGGCCCACGTCTCGTCACGCCTCACCGGCATGGCGCGCGAGCGCGCAGACGGGTGGCCGCCAGCTGCCTTGGTCCAGGGAGGACTCATCAAAGGCAACACAGTGTCACGGGTGACTTTCCCGATGCAAAGTTTGGCCGAACGACGGGGCCAATCGGGCGAGGAGGAGCGCACTTCCGCAGTTTCGGCACTGATGAACTTCGGCCGACTGCCGCAAGAGCGCATCGACAACTTCTTCTCGCGTTTCGACCGCGACCGGGCGCAGCAAGCTGGCCAGCTCATGATCAGCCACGCGCGCCTCAGCTTCCTCCTGCCGCGCGCCGCGGGCGCGTCGAACATCCAGTCGACCATAATATTGCAGCGCCGCTTTATGGCAAGCCTTATGAACGCAGCGCAGCTTACGCGCGCCACGGACCAGCTGCGTCGCTGCGGGCACATGATCGAGGGATCGCCAGGCAACTTCGCCTCAGCGGCCCACTCTGCCCCACAGCGCACCTCCCTCACGGGCGCGCCCACGCCAGGTCAGGTTCAGGGCGCCCGCGGCACGTGGCCGGATCGAGCTGAGACAGCATGGACCCAGCTGCACCGGGAGCGGCACCGGCCCCACCTGCAGCAGCAGCCGCCAGCAACACCTGCGCTGCGCCACCAGGCCAGGGGGGGGGCCCAGCGGCAGGTGTCGACACAGGCACTGACACTGACGCCATCAGCTCCCGCGGCGAAGACACTGCCGCGGGCGACCCCAAGCCGCGCGACGCCCCTGCGGAACAACGCGGCGCGCGCCTCTTTTGGGCTCACGAACGCGCCAGAGCACGCTGGAAGTTTCAACAACCACATGCCCACGCGCCACGCCCGGGGGGCCATCAAACGAAAGGGCAGGGGCCATGGTAAGGGGTACCGCGACTTCTTGGCCGACATGTCCGAAAACGACTTCCGGGAGACCTTCGCGGGCCCAGCGGGCGGCAAAGGCAACGGCAAGGGGGGGCTCAGGACCAGCTGCGCGGGTTCAAGCCGCCAAGGCAACCCCGTTGACCCCGACGGGGCGCGTCTCGACTGCCACGAGCGCGACTCTGAGGAGCACCTCGCGCGCGACAGCCCCGGGCGCCGCAACCAAGGGCGCGATCTCTTCCTTGACGCCTGCGCCCCAGCACCATCGCCATCACCAACACCTTCGCCACATGCTCTTCTGGGACAGCAGGGGCCGCCAGGACCGCCCGAGCAGCGGCCCATGACAGGAGCGCGCGCAGCGCGGCTGCCCAGGGGCCCCTCCGGGATTCCGCAGCCCGCGGCCCCGGGCACCAGGGAAGGGATCCCACGCAGGGCGCTGAGCCCTGGAGCGACGGACAGCCGACTCCAGCAGCACCAGCGCCGCGGCCGGCAGCGCCAGCAGCCGCCCCACGCGCGTCGCCAGATGGCCCCCAGCAACAGGTTGGCTGGCCACAGCCATTGGCCGCGACTGGCGGGCGCACCACCCCCGTCACCCTCCCCCGACCCTCGCGACGCCGAACTACGACGGCTGCGACAGGAGATGGCGGAACTCACGAGCCGCGCGCAAGTCTCCGCACCACCAGCGGGCCCTGCGACTGAGCCACCAGCCCGCGCAGCAGCAGCGGGGCAAGCAGCGCCGCCCACAGCGGCCCTGGGAACGGCAGCCGCACCAGCAGCGCCAACAGCTCCAGCAGCTTCCACACCACAACCACCACAACCAACACCCCAACGGCGGACACGAGCGGGCAGCGCGTTCCAACTGGGGCAAGCTCTGGGCGCGACTGGGTAGGCGACCTCAACGCACGAGCCGTCGCGACTCTGGCCCCAACGCGCAATTACCGAGCCGACCAAGGTACGCACGCTTTCTGTCACAGCCCTCACGCGGCCACCGCAGCCGGCACCAGCAGTCGCGCCACCGACAGCGCTGGAGCCCCCCCCCAGGAGCTGGCCCTGTTTAGCCAGAACAGCCCCGTAGAGGTGAGTCAATCGTCTGGGAGAGTGGGCACGCGATTCGCCAGCCGAGAGACCTGGATGGCTTGCGGCGGCCGATCCGAGCACGACGCGGGCACCACCCTCGACCGCATTCAGAGGCGACAACTCGAACAGAAACCCTTACTAATCCTCTTGCGCCAGCCGCAGCAAATGCCGAGCCCCCCCCAGTTCCAGCTGTCACCCGCGATGACGATGAGAGCCCCATCTGCCTCGAGGCCCCCCAGCACGGAGAGAGGGTAGTACGCCTGCAGCGCCGCCGCATCTTGCACCGCGCGTGCCATCTGCAGCTGATGCAGAACACAGACACCCGCTCGGTGCACTGTCCGGCGCGCCGCGGCCCGGCCGACGTCATCGCCGACTTTCGCTTCATTGGCGCAGACCGCGCGACAGCGGGCCCGGCGCCCGCGGCGCCGGCCCGCGCAGCAAAAGACAGGGACATGCTGGAGGAGACCCCGCCACAGCAGGACATCGCGCAGTCTCCCCGACCAGTCGCCGGGCCCTGGGCGCCTTGGCCAGACCTCGTGCAATCGCCGGGCAGCGCTTCCAGCGTCGCGTCCCCCGCGGACACGGCGGCGCCCTGCGACGCCCGCCTGAACCTGGACGCGCCACCGCAGAGGCCGACGCCCACGTTGTGGCCGATTTCGCCGGGCACAGGATCGAGCACATCGAACGATTCGCCGCGTTACGTGGCGAACACCGATCTACCAGGTGACCGGTTGGCGTCATTGTCGACACTGGCGCTTGGACCAATCTCTGGGGCCTGCGTTTCGCCGTGAATCTGGCCCACTGGGCCCAGCAGGCGAGGCTGCGCCCCACCGAGACCAACCCCGCAGTACCTTGCAGGAGTTGGCAATGGGTCGCAGGTAGCGCACTACGACGTCAGTACGAGGTACACTGCCACATCGGGACGACTTCCCGTGATGGCTCGACCAGTCAGCACAGCATGCGCGCCCTTGCCGTGGAGGACGCGGGCGCTGACCTCGGTGCCCTGTTAGGTTCGCAGCCCACGCACTCCAACAACGGGGTGGTGGAGACAGGCGTTGGCCACAAACGCCTCGCTTTCCTTTGGCCAGGCGGCGACGAGATCAGTTGGGGCCTGACACCACGCACTTCAACTTGGAATCGGCGCCGAGCGGCGACTTGTGCATCCCTGCCGACGACATCGGCAAGCTTCAGCCGCACTCGGGGGACCTGCCGCCCCAGCAGCTCGCGCCGCTGGCGGTGGGCAACGACAGCCAGGAGCACCGCGCCACCAACGGCCGCGAGCTCCAGGAGCTGAAAAAGCCAGCTCTTGAGCACCAACGGCCAGGCACCCCCTCTGGGCGCGCCTGGGGCCGCAGGCTACGACCAACACGCGCGCGCGCGGACATCAGCATCGCGACCTGCAGTCGCGGATCAGCTGGAGCAGCAGACTCGCACGGTACACCCGCTCTGCCCATTGCACCCGTTTACCTGCGTGGGTCCGA